CTAATAGTTTACCACCAGAAAAGTCTACCAGAAAGTACCTACAAGCAATTATTCTTGTGATAAAACTGATTTTTTAAAAATAAATAATTCTACTGACTTGTAAAAAGTTTTTACAGTTTAGCTGTCAATTTTACAAGTCAGTAGAGCCAGTAGCTTGTAAAAATCAATTTTCGTTGTTTATTTTTTGACTTGATAAGTGACGTTTTACAAATGAGTGACAAATAAATACATTAAAGAGCACGTTACTTTCTCTCGGCTTTGATCTGAATTACTTGAGGGGACAAGGTTATGATGGTGCTGCTACTATGCGAGGTACGTTTAGGGGAGTACAAGCAATCATATCAGCAGAGTTTCCAAATGCCATTTACACGCATTGCCTATCGCATTGCCTAAATTTGTGCCTAAACGATGCATCGAAAATTCCGCAAGTAAAGAATGTTATAGGTACCCTTGGAGAAGTATGTACTTATTTTCGCATATCTGCGAAGCGCAGCCAGATTTTGAAAAGTGAACTAGGTAACTCACAAAAAAGCATCTGTCTCTACAAAAATATTGTGAAACAAGGTGGGTGGAAAGGCACGAAGCCGTAGCTATATTCTCAGATGCCCTTACTGAGATATCTTGTGCCTTCGAAAATATAATTAGCAGTGGAGCCGATAATTCTGGAAAAGCTGTTTCTTTTCAACATGCCATTTTTAACTTTGGTTTTTTAATAACCCAAAACATACTGTAGAGAACATTGGCAAACTTTCGGAATATCTGCAATCAATAAACATAGATTTGGTTGTTGCTTTAGAAAGAGTGAGCCAGGCGACTGATGCTTTGAAAAACATAAGAAATAATGCCGAAAATGAGTTTCAAGAAATTTTTATAAAAACCGTTACGTTAGCAGAAAAACTTGACGTTGAAATACGTTTACCGAGACGTGTTGGCTCCCAAAGGCATCGCGAAAATTATCAGGTTGAAAATGCAGAACAGTATTATAGAGTTTCACTGTTTATTCCAATTATTGAAGACTTAATACGCTCACTTTTTATTCCTGTAAATGCAAAGACAAGGCAGTTCAAGCCTCTACTACCCGCAATTGAAAAATACTCTGATGATCTATACACCAACAACGAATCAATGTTGCGTGCTGAATTCGAACTATGGCAGATGAAATGTGCCAACTTTGAAAACCCAATTCGAACTGCCATTGAGGCTTTACAAGAATGTTCAGAAGACATGTTTCCAAATATACACAAATTACTCCTTATCTTAGCAGTACTGCCAGTAAGCACTGCTTCTTCAGAGAGAAGTTTCTCCACTCTCAAAAGAATAAAGACTTATTTAAGAAATAGAACAGGGAAAGATAGACTAGTAGGGCTTGCTTTAATGTCAGTTCATCGAAGCATTGAGATTGATATTGACAAAGTTGTAGACGATTTTGCCAAAAAGAATAGAAACTTAAATTTTTAAATAAAAGTAAAATACCTAATACTTTGGCAGTTTTATTTTAGCCTTTCAATATAAAAAAATACTATATTTTCAACTAAATATCGATATCGATTACCGGTAAAAAACACAAAAAAAGGGCGTGGCGAAAAATTTGTTTGCCTCTGCTCCGGCGGCACCTACGGTGGGCTCACCCCCCCCCCCCCCACCTCCGAATTGAAATCCTAGATACGCTACTGTTCTTTGATATCGTTAAACAAATGAAAAAATGGCAGCCGGAAAGTAATCTTGTGGGCACCCGGTATAACTTTCTATATAAACTCTATGAAAATTAAGTTTATATTATTATTATTATTATTATTAAACGTTTTTATTATCGCAAATAGATCAGATACAGAATAAACTTAAAATTATTTTTACTTGCTAATAATCGCTGATCTGCGATAAATGTCAGAGTTCGCATTCTTGTTTACATAGTAAACAAGAACCGCGTTCTTCCACTCAGGCATTTGTGAAGCTTACCTCTTTTCTAGTAACTAAACAAAAAATAAAGAAAAAAAAATAAATATCCCAATACTTGTCTTTGGAACCTCCCGAATTTATTGATGGCAATTTCCGATGCTTGTGTAGATTCCGTGCTAACTGTGGCGACACTGCCTTTAAAGAACATATCCTTTTATCAGGAGGCAACAGCATGTATATAACTCCAGTAATTCAGAATGAGCTTATTTCAATAATAGGCTCTCAAATTCAAAGAAAAATTCTAGAACGCGTTCAAGCGACGAAATATTTCAGTGTTTTAGCGGACGAAACTACTGACATTTCTAGACAAGAGCAATTTTCTCTATGCGTGAGGTATTACGACAAATCCGTGAAGGGAATCAAAGAAGACTTCCTTACCTTCGTTCCTGTTACTGATGTCATCGGCCAAGGACTAGCAAATACATTAAAGAGCACGTTACTTTCTCTCGGCTTTGATCTGAATTACTTGAGGGGACAAGGTTATGATGGTGCTGCTACTATGCGAGGTACGTTTAGGGGAGTACAAGCAATCATATCAGCAGAGTTTCCAAATGCCATTTACACGCATTGCCTATCGCATTGCCTAAATTTGTGCCTAAACGATGCATCGAAAATTCCGCAAGTAAAGAATGTTATAGATACCCTTGGAGAAGTATGTACTTATTTTCGCATATCTGCGAAGCGCAGCCAGATTTTGAAAAGTGAACTAGGTAACTCACAAAAAAGCATCTGTCTCTACAAAAATATTGTGAAACAAGGTGGGTGGAAAGGCACGAAGCCGTAGCTATATTCTCAGATGCCCTTACTGAGATATCTTGTGCCTTCGAAAATATAATTAGCAGTGGAGCCGATAATTCTGGAAAAGCTGTTTCTTTTCAACATGCCATTTTTAACTTTGGTTTTTTGATAACCCAAAACATACTGTAGAGAACATTGGCAAACTTTCGGAATATCTGCAATCAATAAACATAGATTTGGTTGTTGCTTTAGAAAGAGTGAGCCAGGCGACTGATACTTTGAAAAACATAAGAAATAATGCCGAAAATGAGTTTCAAGAAATTTTTATAAAAACCGTTACGTTAGCAGAAAAACTTGACGTTGAAATACGTTTACCGAGACGTGTTGGCTCCCAAAGGCATCGCGAAAATTATCAGGTTGAAAATGCAGAACAGTATTATAGAGTTTCACTGTTTATTCCAATTATTGAAGACTTAATACGCTCACTTTTTATTCCTGTAAATGCAAAGACAAGGCAGTTCAAGCCTCTACTGCCCGCAATTGAAAAATACTCTGATGATCTATACACCAACAACGAATCAATGTTGCGTGCTGAATTCGAACTATGGCAGATGAAATGTGCCAACTTTGAAAACCCAATTCGAACTGCCATTGAGGCTTTACAAGAATGTTCAGAAGACATGTTTCCAAATATACACAAATTACTCCTTATCTTAGCAGTACTGCCAGTAAGCACTGCTTCTTCAGAGAGAAGTTTCTCCACTCTCAAAAGAATAAAGACTTATTTAAGAAATAGAACAGGGAAAGATAGACTAGTAGGGCTTGCTTTAATGTCAGTTCATCGAAGCATTGAGATTGATATTGACAAAGTTGTAGACGATTTTGCCAAAAAGAATAGAAACTTAAATTTTTAAATAAAAGTAAAATACCTAATACTTTGGCAGTTTTATTTTAGCCTTTCAATATAAAAAAATACTATATTTTCAACTAAATATCGATATCGATTACCGGTAAAAAACACAAAAAAAGGGCGTGGCGAAAAATTTGTTTGCCTCTGCTCCGGCGGCACCTACGTGCGAATAAAAGAGTGTGATTGACTCTGTCAAAGGCCCTAGAGTAGTCGACCATTACCAGTATGGAAAGCTTATTATCGTCAATACCTTATATCCTACTGAACTATTATAACCATATAATACCTTGGTTACGATAATCATATACAGGGTCTTTGAGAAAAAATAGAAATTTTGGTCAATGGTTTATTCCTTTATAAAAATGGACAAAAAAATAGTAAATTCAGTAGGAAATAAAATTATCTATGTACCACGGGAATTATCAGGTGTTAATACCCACGGGCAATTGGTGTCCCTCGGGCCGAAAGCTCTCGGAACACAAACTTTGCCCTGGGGTATTAACACCCTCATAATTCCCTTGATACATGAATAACTATTGTCATATCAAAACAACAGCATTTTGGTACAATAACTGCTATAAATCATAAAGGTCCTGCTTTTAAAAGATTAGGCGAGTTCGGATGTTTCTAGTGGCTCTATACAAATTTTACCTACGAGCATGCGGTAGAGTGTACTTTACCGCACTTATGTGCAAATGGAAAGTAGCACTCTACCGCACACTATGCGGTGAAGCTACTTTATCGCATAGTATGCGGTACAGTAGACTGCATAGTGTGCGATAAAGGTGACCGAACGACGCGAGTGAAATTCTACTCATCCTCTGTCAAATATTTTGTCACCGCACTGTTGTAGATGAATTACTGTAAACAATACTGTATACTGTACTTTATATAATACCCTTAGATATTGCAAACCTCGCCTCACCGGCTTGGATTGCAAATTTTTCTCGCGTGCGGTAATAACCTAGTTACCTTATTATAATATACTATTATATAACAAAAACAAAATCGTTGATTTTATTGAAACTATTTTCCTCAAAATAGGCTTGATTATTCCAGTGGCGTTCCGAACGAAAACGAAAAAGTACGTCAATGTTCACACCACTGGAAAATTTGAATATAATGATAAGCATACCATTCAATGGGCTAGCAACCCTTGAATGTGAATTGAATAGCTCCTGTAACAAGAAGCCAAGCCTCGGATGCTAGTAGAGTGGATGTCGCCTCTGCTAGCGGGACGCAGCGGCATCTAGCCGGTAATGGTGAAGCAAGTGGCACCACCCGGCGAATCGGAACCACAAGGCCTGCACTCCCGAAGGAACAACCCTCGCCGGAAAGCTTGGACACTCCCGATAGGGCAAGTCCCGCTCGACGCATCCAGCGGATAAACCCAAGGATGGAGGGTAGGCGTATGCGCTGGTCTAGAGCACTGAACACAGAGCTAATGCGCGCATACTACCAAGTGACGAAAGGGGAAACGGACGTAACGGGATATCGAGATAAACTAGAAGAGCTATGGAATGCGCAGCACCAACAGCTGATATTACCAGCACAGCGCTTAGCTGATCAAGTACGATCGATCCTGAGACGTAAGGCACTGAGCGAAGCGGAACTGGATGAACTAAAAAACGACTGGCGAAGAGAATCCATCAGAAGATCCGTCCGTCGATCAAACGTAGCTCCACAAGCTGAAGCTAACGAAGAAATACTAAAAGAGCAAAACCAAGTATTTTCAGAAGATCTCACAGAAATTCAAGATTTACTGAAGGAAATAGATCTCAAATTCCGAGGTATTCCCATACAAGATAGACCGGCACTCCCAAAATTGACCCTAAATCAGGAAATACTTACCATGGTTACCAAAGTTAATAAGGCCCTCGACGAAGCGATTCTGTCTGAAACACTTCTGGATATCTGCCATGCAGTATACTGTGCAGCACATGCTGTCTGCTCAACTTACAGCGCCAAACTTAGAAACAAAAAACCTCAAAATAAAGTGACCACGGAAAATATCCCACCATGGCAGCGACGCATCGAGAACAAAATAAACACCATTCGAGGACAAGTAGGTATTCTGCATACTTACCTTAACTCTGAGAGCAGCCGAAGAGTCCAGAAACAGGCAAAAAACTACGCCAGACGGGCAAAAATCAATCCACGCAGTCCGTCATTCCAGCAGGATCTCCGAAAACACCTAGATGACCTGAAACAAAAGATAAAAGCTTTAGGGAATAGGATTAGAAGATACCGGCTAAGATGTCGCCGATATCAAGAGAACAAATTATTTTCAAGAGACCAAAAAGCATTCTACAGACAGCTACAACAAAACACAGATAATACCACACAAATATCACCAGAAAAAGAACACATGCAGACATTCTGGAGTGACATATGGGAACGGAATGTGACTCACAATGATGGGGCATTCTGGATTGCACAGGAGGAAACATCCCACGAAGCAACCGAGCAAATGGTCCAGCCTGAAATACGGAAAGCTGATGTCACAACTGCTACCAACAAGCTGAAGAACTGGACTGCTCCTGGAGTCGATCACATACATAACTACTGGTGGAAAGCACTTACTGAAATGCACCAAAAAATAGCAAAAAATTTTGCCGATGCAATTCTAGATCCCTCAATCATCCCAGCACATTTCACCCTCGGAGTTACCCACATGCTACCCAAAAGCGGTGACAAAAATGACCCTAAGAATTATCGTCCGATTACTTGTTTACCATCTGTCTATAAACTCTTAACTTCAATAATATGTACAAAAATCACACATCACATAAACACAAACAATATACTCGCATGGGAACAGAACGGATGTAAACAAAAACCACGTGGATGTAAGGAACTTCTTATAATCGACAACATAACACGACATGCGAAATTAAAGAAAAGAAAACTGTCCATGGCATGGATCGACTATAAGAAGGCATTCGACTCAGTACCGCATTCCTGGTTAATGAGAGTATTAGACATTTACAAAATCCACCCGCAACTTAAGGCACTACTGAAACACTTGATGACAACATGGCGAACCACTGTTAATCTTCAAATGTACAGAACTGAAGAGATAAAAATCAGTAGAGGCATTTTCCAGGGTGACAGCCTCAGTCCAATCTGGTTCTGTCTAGCGCTCAACCCTCTTAGCGGCATGTTAAATAAGAGTGGAAACTCATACGCTCTCAGCAGAGAAACAAAAATATCCCATGCATTCTACATGGATGACCTTAAAGTATACGCCAAAAACCCACAACAACTGCAAGGCTCGCTAGAACTCATCAAGGCGTTTACCAACACGATTAAAATGGAAATGGGCCTGGAAAAGTGTGCAGTGGTACACGTAGATAAAGGAAAAGTCACACAGTCGGAAAATATGACCCTGATGGACAACATCACAACCATCCCTGCCTTGGGACCGGAAGACAACTACAAGTACTTGGGCTTTCAGCAAGGCCTAAGTATCGACACGAAAGCCAATCAAGAAAGAATAATATCAGCATTCTTTAAAAGGAACAATATGATTTTAAAAACAGAGCTGAACTCCAAAAACAAGATACAGGCAATCAACGGGTGGGCAGTACCAGGGCTAGCGTATTCGTTTGGCATAATAGACTGGACGCACACAGAAATACAACACTTGGACAGGCAAGTACGAACAACATTTACAAAATTCAGATAACATCACCCTAAATCTGCGATGGAGCGACTATACATCTTCAGAAAAGAAGGGGGACGTGGAATGACTAACCTTGAAAGCGTGCTATTTGACGAGACACAAAAGCTGAGAAAATATTTCAAAAATAAGAACTTACCTTTTTACCAATGTCTGGTCGCAGTGGATGACGGATACTCCGCTCTGAATCTGGCTGGCAGGGAACCTGAAAGAAAAAATGAATATATTAACAAAATGAAAGAGACATGGCAACGAAAAGTGCTGCACAGTAGATATTTCAATTCACTACACCAGGAGGATTTTAGAACTTCGAATACTTACCTTACGCAGGGGTATCTATTTGCAGAAACGGAAGGTGCTCTTCACGCAATACAAGATCAAGTAGTACCTACCCGATGCCATCAGAAACATATCATCAAAATGGATATCCAGAACACCCGGTGTAGACTCTGTAATAAAGAGCAGGAGACAATTCAACACTTAATATCAGCCTGTAACCAATTAGCCCCTACAGCTTACCTAAGCAGGCATAACAACATGGGAAAAGAACTCCATCTAGCTGTCCTTCAAATGTGGAACCTAAAAACAGGAAAAATACCTGGTTATAAACATCAACCTTAAAATACAGTAGAAAATGAGTGTTATAAAGTCTACTGGGATACCTCGATAATAACAGACCGAGAAGTCCAACACAACAAACCGGATATGATCTTGCTAGACAAAAACAACAAATCTGCAATGATTATTGACTTCTCTGTACCGCTAGACGAAAACCTAGGAAAATCATATAAGGATAAAGTAAATCGGTGCCGTCCACTAGCGGATGAAATAAAAGAATAATTATGGGAACTAAGAAAGGTGGAAATTAAGCCAATCATAATCTCCGCCAATGGCTTAGTGCACGCAAAATTAGTTAAACATCTAGAAGAGCTAAACTTACCGCGGCAAACGTGCAACCTAATGCAGAAAGCAGTAGTTCTCGGAACAACAGCAATTGTTCGTAGGACACTTACCCCTTAGTTGCAACGGTTTATGCCTTGACGCAACAGCGTCCGGTATAAACTGAGCCGCACCACTGAAAAATGTGTGAAAAAAAAAAATATATATAATAATAATAATAATAATAAATGTACGCAGATAGGCATGACACAGCTGCGATAATTCTGCACCAAGCTCTAGGACAAAAATTAGGCCTCACCGATAATACGGATCCATATAACAAGTATATTCCCACAAAAATTCTAGAAAGCGAAAACTACAAGCTTTATTGGGACACAACACTACTCACAGATAAGACCATGCACCACAACAGGCCAGACTTTACTCTTGTTAACAAACAAGAGAAAACAACATATTTTCTTGAAGTGTCAATATCATCTGACCATAGCATCTGAGCATAGCATCAAAGAAAAGCAGAGTGAAAAGGAAAAAAAATATCAAAGTCTGGCAGCAGAGATAAAGACCCTCTGGAAACAGAATAGAGCGAGGAGGCCGGAAAAGTGATTCCCGTATTTTTATTCATTGATTCCCTAGCAACTATTGAAACATAATTAAAATTCCAGAATCTTGAGTTTTGCGACCTATCAACCGGTCAAAAATGCTGACATTTCTTGTCAATCGCAGAAAAATAATATTTATTATCTCCAGAAAAATTACATTACAAACAGGGAACTTAGACAACATGGGAAATAATAGGCCATATTTGCAGCATCCCAAGCAAGCATGAGTGCTGTTGAGGCCCAAAAAAATTGCTTATAATAAAACAAAAAGAAAGGCTTATCTAATAATACAAAAATCAAGTAACGCACTTGATACTTAAACTGTGAGAAGACGAAAGAGAAAAAGGAGGTGAAAAAATAAAGAAAAGAAGAAAAGAAGAGGAGGACAGATGGTAGAGAAGATAGCCAGAGTAGAGGAAAAGCTAGTAGAAAAATCGATTGATGACTTTTTGAAATATTCTTTGTTGTGAGAAGGTATTGTTGAAAGCTGTTTTCTCCGAATATTTAAATTATGAATGTCAGTTCGATATTTGATTTTATTGTGTAGTTATGGTGAAGTTTAAAATTTTATTAATTTATGAAAGAAACATAGTGAGTGCAGACTGCGCCCGTTAAACATACTTAACCAGCCCAATTCATTCAGCTTGTGTGAAACTCGGTCTCTTCGTCTTATTCCACACGCAAACCTAATGCAAGAGTTCTGAACCTTTGGAACTCTCCTAGCATCTATCGAATCCAAGATAGGCTCATATATGTGATCGCAAAAATTAAAATGCGAGAGAATTAAAGAGTCGCAAAGCAAAGTTTTAGTTCTTTGACAAAGATAGTGTCTATGAGAGCATAAACCCCTCAAAACTGAATAGGGTAAACGCACCAGTGTTTGACCGCTTAAGGATTTTTTAGTATCAGTGTTTGACCGAGCCATATTATTTTTCTGGTAGATACATATACATTCAAATAAAATAATCAAAAATGTGATCAAACATACATGTTATTCAGTTAAAGTTACTTACCCCAGATATTAAATATACCGTCATAAAGTAGAATTTTTAAAAATGAAAAAAGAAAACGGTGTTAGGATATTTAGTCTTTGACCACTTTGATTGAATTAGTTGACCGAAATTATCTAGTCTTTGACCTTAAAACTCTAAGTGTTTGACCATTTTTTGGAAGTAATTCTTTGGTATATTTATTATTTTTCCCTATTATTTTGTTTATCATAAAATGTTCTATTTGTTCTTTTTAAGATTTAAAAGTTGACAAAAAGAATGATAATAGAAAATAATATTTTAAAACTATTTTTATTCTTAAAAAATTCATGCATGGGTTGACTTTGGTACATTGAACATCTTGGCTGCTTTTTCATAAGATAAACCCCTACTTATGCATCGAGGGCCTTTTGAATATCTTTTTCACTATATTTAAATTTAGGCTTTGTTGACATAATGGTTCTGAAAAAAAAGGAATCGTGGTTCAAATTCCCTAAATTTCCTACATATATTTCCAATTTATTAGTAAATGATCCCTATAGGGGCCAGTGTTTGACCAAACATATTATATTTATTTTACAGAGATTATTCCTACTTAAGTGCGGTCAATTACTTTTGTCGTGAAGAAGGATGTTTAAAAAAACAGAAAAGATACAAACATTTGCATTATGTTTTATATTAGGCTAAAATATTTACAAAACTTGAAGCCTGCTAAAAAACTCAATGTTTGACCTGTTTTTGCCCAATAAATGACCAAATAAGAACCAGTTATTGACTGAACATTTAAAGTGCATGTATTTTATTTATAGAGCATAAAATTTCGGTCGAACACTAAACCATTTAAAGGGGAAGATATAATGAAAAAAAAAAATGATATTAAAATATATTCTATTATAAACCCATCTCCAATAGTTGTGAGGTAATAAATCTCATAATTTCTCCAGTATTTGACCGATTGGACAAACACTAATTTTTATTCAAATTTAGAGGTAACAGTCTTTGACCGGCTGTATTTTGACAAAAAAATAAATTAAAGCGGTATTTTTTTGATATAAACAATAGATAACATTTATTAGAACACCGACAAACAAAAAAAAATATAAAAAATGCAAAAAGAGTTGAATAATATTACCTTAATTAGGTGAACTTCTTAATTCAAAAATTACACTTCTTAAGACGACGAGCACAGCCTGTGGTTGGAGGTAAACTAAACAACAAGTACGACAATCGGTAGGACAAAGCGAAAGTTTTGCATAGTAGGGGGTGGAGAAAAAACTTCAGGCTATTTATGAATAGTTTCATACTCCTCAAGATATTCCTAGAATTCTTATTTTTCACATTTTTTCATGAAAACGGTCAAACACTGGCTGACGGTCAATTACTGGCGTTTTACCCTAT